ATTCTGTAGGTTGTCTGTGAACCCTGTTATTTATTTATTTGCTGTGCAGAAGCTTTTTAATTTAATTAAGTCCCATTTGTTTATTTTTGTTGTTGCTCTCTTTGTCTTTGAGGTCTTAGTCATAAATTCTTTGCCTAGGCCTACGTCTAGAAGACACTCAGCTTAGGTATCACCTTGCGAAGCCTCTCCTGTCAAAGTCAATCACTTCTCCTGTGGCCTTGTAGCACTTTGTTCATATAGTTAGGGTGGCATTTGTCACATTGTATTTTAGTGACTAGATTGTAAGCCTCTTGAAGACAAGGTTTGTGTCTTACTCACCTTTCTGTTCCTGGTTCCCAGTGTGTTGCTTGACAAAGAGTGGGGTGCTAAGTAAATGTCACTAAAGTGTATGGCGTTAACATCTGAGAATTAGGAAGGTAGTAATGGAGTCATTAGGCAAAGAGAAAAATTCATGTTTTTTCTTCTTAAATGCATATTCTTTTCCTTTCAGTATTTCTCTTAATTTCCCTTTTCTCTCCCCTTAGTTTGCAACAAACTCATTTGTGTTTTTCGGGCAGCCGATCCTTCATTTTCCATAAGGATCATCAGCGTGTAATAGCTGTGTCCAGGGTCACCAGCGAGTATGTGGTAGAAGTGGGGTTCACATCCACATTCGCCTGCCCTAAATACTCATGCACATAGCTGCTGGGCTACTCCTGACCGTGTGTGTGCTCTTGGAGAAGTTACAAAGTTTTCTAAATCTCAGTTTCTATGTGTAAATAGGGGATAATAATAATACCTACTTCATAGGGTCCATGGGAGAAATGAATGAGAATATCAATGTAAACACTTAGAACAGAGCTTGGCCCAAAGTAACTACCCAATAAACAGCTGCGCAATCAATTCTTATTGTTACTACTTTATGTTGTGTAGGAGACACACAGATTATCTTCCTTGGTTTTAGACTGTCGAGAGTCATGGAGGTTAAGAGTATTGGCTCATCTGCAGAAACTGTCTGCCAGGCCCCACACTTTATATGCTTTTAGAATATTGTATTTGGAAGGGATTTTGGAGGTCAGGTGGTCTAACAAGTGCTTATCCAAAGCAGGAGTCCTCTCTGCAGTTTCCAGTGAGAGGTGATTGGGCGCAACACTTAACAGTGACAGAGCTGACCACTTTAGAAGGAACACGTAATTGTTTAAAAATCATACATATGTACTTTGCTTTTTTTTTTAATTCTGTCCTCCCTAAAATGTAAAAATCATTTTTTCACACTATAATCCTTAGTCCTCTAAAATACTTGAACAGACTTACCTCTGTACTAACGGTTCTCAAAGTATGATACAGGGATCGCTTTTAACTCAGATGCTTTCCTCAGTAGTCTTTCTTCTCTCTTCCCCTTTCTTTTAAATCAGAGAATCCATGAAGATTCTGGTTAGTGTCAGCTAAATTTTTTATGTGATTGCATGCTTTTTTCTGGAGCAAGATTCAGTGACCTAAAAAAGTTTAAGAATCACTGCCCTGTACATGCTCATGATTACATTTTGCTCTGAGATGAAATATATATATCTCAAAGGGACAAAATGGTTAAGAACCACTGACTATTATTTTTCTCATAATGGTAAGAAAGTTCTTGAAGACAAAGGTATTAGGAGTTGCATAGAAAAGGGAAAATCTGAGAGTTAAAGCAGAGATAGAGACATAGAGCTCACCTGTCTCCACCAAGCCA